CCTGGCTAGCTGAGGCAAGAGCAGCAGCAGCAAGCTTAAGCACCAGCCCCCAAACTAAACCCTAAACCCTAAACCCTAAACCCTAAATAAGCAGCAACCATTGTAACCCTAACTAAACCCTAAATAAAAACAAATACAACAAATATAACAGAAGAAAAAATAAACAAAACAAAAATAAAAAAAAACAAAACCACAAACAAAGCCACCATAACCCTCCCCCTAAAAGCTTAAAAAGAAATCTATTTCATTGAAAGCTCAAATCAGGACACACGGGTGGGCCCCCCTGGGGGCCCCCCTAGGGGCCCCCTTGGGGGCCCCCCTAGGGGCCCCCAGGGGCCCCTACAAGGAGCCAAGTGCCCCCCCCTGGGGGCCCCCAACGGGGGCCCCCCTAGGGCCCCCGGGGGGCCCATAGAAGGCTCCAAAAAGGCATCAAGGGGGCCCCCGGGGGGGCCCCCAAGGACACAAAGGAGGCCCTGATGGGGCCCCGAAAGAGGCCCTGAAAGGGCATCAACAGGGCCCCCTGGGGGCCCCCGGGGGCCCCCAGGGGGGCCCCGGGGGGCCCCCCTTCAAGGGGGCCCCCCGAAGGGCTTATAGGAATTCCTTAGAAGGACCCGCGGGGGCCCCCCGGGGGCCTTTCCAGCATTTCTTTGAGAGTTGCTGTGCCTCCCTCATAAGTTGCTGCTGCTGCTGCTGCTGCTGCTGCTGCTGCTGCTGCTGCTGCTGCCGCTGCTGCTGCTGCTGCTGGTCTGCTCAGCGCGTTAGCCGCTGCTGTAATCCTTTACAAGGCTTTGGGGGCCCCTAAAGGGGCCCCCAAAAAAGGCCAAGGGGGGCCCCCCATGGGGGCTTAGAGGGTTTGAGGGTACACGGGGGCCCCCACCCACCGCGGCTGTACTTACTATAACAAATGAATTGACCCTAAACCCTAAACCCTAAACCCTAAACCCTAGACAGGTGGCAGCCGATGAGATGTATAATAAATACAGACTGATCCCGACGGGAACAGCAGTTGCAGCCTTGCTGCTGCAGTTGCTGCTGCAGTTGCTGCTGCAGCTGCTGCTGCTGCTGCTGCTGCTGCAGCTTCATCTCCTGCTGCAGTTGCTGCTGCTGATACTGCTGCAGCAGCAGCTGCTGCTGCTGCAGTTGCTGTGGCTGCTGCTGCTGTTGCAGTACATCAACAGAATAGAACTCTACACAAGACCAGCAGCCAGAGCAGCAGCAGCAGCAGCATCAACAGCTGCTGCTGCTGCTGCTGCTGCTGCTTCCGCTATTCAAGCTGCTGCAGTTGTTGCTGCTGGCGTTGCTGCTCGAAGCGCAGCAGCAGCTAAAACTAAAGCTTATACTAATGCAGGAGATGCTGCTGCAGCTGTTGCTGCCGCTGCTGCTGCAGCCGATGCTGTTGCTGCTGCTGCTGCAGCAGCTGCTGCTGCAGCTGCTGCTGCTGCTGCTGCCCTGCAGCAGCAGCGGCAGCTGATTCTCCTTAAACAGTTGACACAAGCTCAAGGCCAAGAAGAGACACAGTTGTGGCAGCAGCAACTGCTGCTGCTGTTGCTGCAGCAGCTGCTGCTGCAGCAGCTGCAGCAGTTCCAGACTGCACAAAGAATTCATCTATTGCAGCAGCAGCA